CTTTTTGAGACAGGGTCTCTCTGTAGCCCCAGGTGTCCTGGAACTCACTATGTAGACCAGGCTGGCCTTGAATTCACACAGATCCACCTGCCTCTGCCTCCCGAGTGCTGGGATTAAAGGCATTCACCACCATGCCCGGCAGAAAGACTTGTTTTAACACCACTAATGCTTAGATGTTTGCATGTGTCTTTAATCTCTGTGGATCTGATTAGCACTAGTCACGTTACACTTGGATCCTTGGCACCTGAGTATGGATATAAAGTCATCAGGTAGATTTCAATGGTAATGTTTATCACCTCTACTAATTAACATAAAGTAAATTTTTATGCTTCCTCCTCAAAAATGTCATTTTTTTATTTGTTGATTTTTGTGTGTGTATATCATACAGAACATCCTACACAATCTTTTATTCGTATACACCCACTTCCCTATTGGCACCCTCCCATAGCCTCCTCCCATCCCCCATTGGAGCCCACATACTCTGTCATCCCTGGTACTGTCCATTGTGTTGTCAACACGCCCAGCCATTCCCCAGTGCTTGTCCATCTGCTGAATCTAGTCAGCCTATCTAGAGATCCTTGTTTTAGGAAGGTCAGCTGTTCTCATCTAGTAGCAATCAGTTGTCAATATTCCTTTAGATAAGATTGGGATCTGCTGTTCATTTTCCAAGTTCTATGCTGGGTTACTGTCTGGGAGTCTCTTGGGCCATCCTAGCCAACAACTCAAAGGAAGGTATCTCCTGTCTGGCATTGTTTCTTGTTAAGTAGCCTTTAGCTATACATACGGACTCTTAAAAAATTATATTGACCCCTTTATCCTTTGGTTATACTTCCTTTTGGGTATTTAAGACCCTACAATTGGCCCAGATAAACCAATTTATTTTTACTCTTAAGGTCATTTGAGGATTTGTTCCTCAGGGGTCACCTGGGCTTGGGAGGAGCCCCTGGCTCCTTTCTTTTACCAGTTCCGTCTATGTGAAGATAAGTCAAAGGTCCTACTTGACAATGGCTGGCTTTGCTTGGAAGCATGGAGGAAATGTTTCCTCTTTGTTAACTCTCCTCTTTGTAGACTGGACACTGGTTCAAGTCCATCTGGTGGGGTCTCCCCGGCCTCCTTGATCAAGAGGACAGGTGACTTGCTACAGTTACAGGACATTTTGAGAGATGTTCATAGTCCCCTGGAACTTAGTCAACCTAGGAGGGCAAGGAACAAAAACTGTCCTTATTAGTGCTACAACCTACTGACAAATTATACATACAGCTAGATCAAGGAATATAATATATGTCTAGGCAAGGTTTATCTGAGAACATTTGGTCTTTGCCCAAGCTTTCTGTGCATGGCACATGGTAATTAAAAGTCCCAGACTGGTGGAACTAACCTTCTTGGATGTTTAACAGTCATACTTTGAGGCCTATACTAATTTTGTCAGAGGGACTTACAGGAAAATATTTTCTTAATAGAGAAATGCCTTTTCTGGGTATGGTGAGGTTTACATATAATCTGAACACCAGAGAGGCTGAGGCAGAAGGATGGTGAGTTCAAGGACAGCCTAGATTGCATAGAGACTTCATCTAAAACAAACAATAAACCAAGAAAACAAGAAAATGAACATTCTCCAGACATATTTAAGAAATTAAACATTGCTTTAAAAACTTGCCTTTAATCCTAGCACTCAGGAAGTAGAGGCAGGCAGATCTCTATGCCTGATGCCAGCCAGGTCTACATAGAGAATTCCAGGCCAGCTGGGACTACAGGGAGACTGTGTCTCAAAAAATTCAAACAAACAACCAAACCAAACCCCAAACCCGAAACAAATCAAGTAGTATATGTTTGTTTTGCTATTTTTTCCAATATAAAGTTATTAGTTTTTTATGTAATTAAAATTTTCATTTTGCTTTAGTTATTTTATGTTGTGTGTATGACTGTTTTGTTTGCATGTATATATGCCTGCACAGGCCAGAAGAGGGCATTTGATTCCCTGGAACTAGAGTTATGGATGGTTGTTAGTCACCATGTGGCTGATGGGAACTCAATCCGCCAGCAAGAGCAGCCAATGCTCTTAACTGCTGAGTCATCTCTCCTGCTCCAGGTTGTCAATTTAAAAAAATTTTGTCCACTGAAGCATTTTCATTATATGTCCATTTTATTTTTTATTTTTGCCTTTTTTTTGGTCTTTTTGAGACAGGGTCTCCCTGTAGCCCCAGCTGTCCTGGAACTCACTATGTAGACCAGGCTGGCCTTGAACTCACAGAGATCCACCTGCCTCTGCCTCCTGAGTGCTGGGATTAAAGACATGTGCCACCACACCTGGCTATATGTCCATTTTATATCTCTATGTAAAGAAGCCCAGAATTTTCCATCCTGTGTGTTTTTGTCTTGCTTCTTCATGGTCCATGATGCCAGCTGAGATTATCAATATATAAAATCAAACTGGCAGGACAGGAGCAGATTATTCTGCCATTTTCCCAGGGCTTTGGGCTGTACATCAAATCTGTGGCTGATTACTCCACACTTTATTAACCTGCCTTTGAGGTTTGGAGCAATTTTCCTACCTCTTTGATTATCAGTGATGCTGACTGACCAATGTAATTATACTTCATCATCACCGATAGGAATGGAACAATTTTTTAGAGCACGGCTTGATAACTGTCTGGCGTTTGCCTCTGTTCAGCACTGTTTAAACACTCATGTACACTGTGTTTATGACGACACAGAAAGATAGCACAAAGAGAAGAGTGTTAATCCCTCCCTCCCTCCCTCCCTCCCTCCCT